ATACTTTTGTTATGGCAGCCAAAAAATCGAATATTTTTGGCGAAAAAAAGGGTTTATATTTTTGTCAAAAATACGAAATTCAGATTTTTGCCAAAAATGCGACATTTTTTTTCGGTTTTTTCATCGTAGTTCAGCCAATTCAAGGCGTACAGCTGAAAGACCGACTGTTTTGAGCAGCTTGCTTAATATGCTAACGATCCTCATCAGTTTTATGAAAATTTATTTTTTGACCAATTTTCGCTATTTTTGTAGGGGTTTCATCACAATTTTTCGAAAAATGGCAAAAAATGAAAAATTTTCAGGTTAGAATGCCAATCGATTGGAAATTAAACAACGAGCTCAACGAGGTATCACATTCCTCATTCTGACTTATATTTTTGTTATGGCAGCCAAAAAACCGAATATTTTTGACGAAAAAAAGGGTTTACATTTTTGTCAAAAATACGAAATTCAGATTTTTGCCAAAAATGCGACATTTTTTTTCGGTTTTTTCATCGTAGTTCAGCCAATTCAAGGCGTACAGCTGAAAGACCGACTGTTTTGAGCAGCTTGCTTAATATGCTAACGATCCTCATCAGTTTTATGAAAATTTATTTTTTGACCAATTTTCGCAATTTTTGTAGGGGTTTCATCACAATTTTTCGAAAAATGGCAAAAAATGAAAAATTTTCAGGTTAGAATGCCAATCGATTGGAAATTAAACAACGAGCTCAACGAGGTATGACATTCCTCATTCTGACTTATACTTTTGTTATGGCAGCCAAAAAACCGAATATTTTTGGCGAAAAAAAGGGTTTATATTTTTGTCAAAAATACGAAATTCAGATTTTTGCCAAAAATGCGACATTTTTTTTCGGTTTTTTCATCGTAGTTCAGCCAATTCAAGGCGTACAGCTGAAAGACCGACTGTTTTGAGCAGCTTGCTTAATATGCTAACGATCCTCATCAGTTTTATGAAAATTTATTTTTTGACCAATTTTCGCAATTTTTGTAGGGGTTTCATCACAATTTTTCGAAAAATGGCAAAAAATGAAAAATTTTCAGGTTAGAATGCCAATCGATTGGAAATTAAACAACGAGCTCAACGAGGTATGACATTCCTCATTCTGACTTATACTTTTGTTATGGCAGCCAAAAAACCGAATATTTTTGGCGAAAAAAAGGGTTTATATTTTTGTCAAAAATACGAAATTCAGATTTTTGCCAAAAATGCGACATTTTTTTTCGGTTTTTTCATCGTAGTTCAGCCAATTCAAGGCGTACAGCTGAAAGACCGACTGTTTTGAGCAGCTTGCTTAATATGCTAACGATCCTCATCAGTTTTATGAAAATTTATTTTTTGACCAATTTTCGCAATTTTTTTTTCACATTTTTTCGAAAAATGGCAAATAATAAAAATTTTTCAGGTTAGAATGCCAATCGATTGGAAATTAAACAACGAGCTCAACGAGGTATGACATTCCTCATTCTGACTTATACTTTTGTTATGGCAGCCAAAAAACCGAATATTTTTGGCGAAAAAAAGGGTTTACATTTTTGTCAAAAATACGAAATTCAGATTTTTGCCAAAAATGCGACATTTTTTTTCGGTTTTTTCATCGTAGTTCAGCCAATTCAAGGCGTACAGCTGAAAGACCGACTGTTTTGAGCAGCTTGCTTAATATGCTAACGATCCTCATCAGTTTTATGAAAATTTATTTTTTGACCAATTTTCGCTATTTTTGTAGGGGTTTCATCACAATTTTTCGAAAAATGGCAAAAAATGAAAAATTTTCAGGTTAGAATGCCAATCGATTGGAAATTAAACAACGAGCTCAACGAGGTATGACATTCCTCATTCTGACTTATACTTTTGTTATGGCAGCCAAAAAACCGAATATTTTTGGCGAAAAAAAGGGTTTATATTTTTGTCAAAAATACGAAATTCAGATTTTTGCCAAAAATGCGACATTTTTTTTCGGTTTTTTCATCGTAGTTCAGCCAATTCAAGGCGTACAGCTAAAAGACCGACTGTTTTGAGCAGCTTGCTTAATATGCTAACGATCCTCATCAGTTTTATGAAAATTTATTTTTTGACCAATTTTCGCAATTTTTGTAGGGGTTTCATCACATTTTTTCGAAAAATGGCAAAAAATGAAAAAATTTTAGGTTAGAATGCCAATCGATTGGAAATTAAACAACGAGCTCAACGAGGTATGACATTCCTCATTCTGACTTATACTTTAGTTATGGCAGCCAAAAAACCCAATATTTTTGACGAAAAAAAGGGCTTACATTTTTGTCAAAAATACGAAATTCAGATTTTTGCCAAAAATGCGACATTTTTTTTCGGTTTTTTCATCGTAGTTCAGCCAATTCAAGGCGTACAGCTAAAAGACCGACTGTTTTGAGCAGCTTGCTTAATATGCTAACGATCCTCATCAGTTTTATGAAAATTTATTTTTTGACCAATTTTCGCAATTTTTGTAGGGGTTTCATCACATTTTTTCGAAAAATGGCAAAAAATGAAAAATTTTCAGGGTAGAATGCCAATCGATTGGAAATTAAACAACGAGCTCAACGAGGTATGACATTCCTCATTCTGACTTATACTTTTGTTATGGCAGCCAAAAAACCGAATATTTTTGGCGAAAAAAAGGGTTTACATTTTTGTCAAAAATACGAAATTCAGATTTTTGCCAAAAATGCGACATTTTTTTTCGGTTTTTTCATCGTAGTTCAGCCAATTCAAGGCGTACAGCTGAAAGACCGACTGTTTTGAGCAGCTTGCTTAATATGCTAACGATCCTCATCAGTTTTATGAAAATTTATTTTTTGACCAATTTTCGCAATTTTTGCGAAAAATGGCAAAAATTAAACATTTTCAGGTTAGAATGCCTTGTACTTGTCAGAAATATTCTTTGATTGGCTGCATGACCAAATCAAAATAAATCATGATTCTTATTGGGACTCTGGTGCGAGTTTGGAGGTCCTCTTGCAACAAAATGGTCAACAGTTTTATTACACAGATTAGATGTAATTCACAATAAATATCTAAACTAATACGAAGAACACCATCGAATTTAGCCTATTGTTCGGTTCGACCGATCACATTGGGCGTGGCCTGAGCGGGATTATGTCGGGGGATCGAGGGTGTCTCCTCAGGTTCGCATCGAGGGATCCGTGGCGGCATGCTCGCGGTGATGCGGCAGCTTGGGCGGTAGCTTAAAGGGCCGAATGAACTTGATGTTCGTCCTGAGGCAATCGGGCAGCTGACTGGGCGGCAGCAGGCAGTGCAGAAAGAGATGCGTGAGGTAGCCAGTGATGCCCCAGATGCGGTGGCGGTCCACCACGAACACGGGTCCGCTGTAGCCGCTGCGGAACTGCGTGTGTTTGGTGGCCTTGGGCACTATAAGATCGTTGAGCGGCACACTGAACGCCTCCTCCACCTCCGCCCAGTTGAGACGCAGCTCGGAGACGCTAAAGTCGGGCACCACGCCCACCACCGGCACAATGGACGAGGTGCGCGGCAGTATAAGCTGGTTAGCCTCGCCCCACACTTGGATGCGGTGACGCGGCAGCCCGATCTCCTCCTCCGTTTCGCGTAGCGCACAGTCCACATAGCTCGTGTCCTGGTCGTCCAGCCTGCCGCCCGGAAAGGATATCTGGAAGCTGTGGCTGCGCAGGTGCCTCGAGCGTCGCGTATAGAGCAGGGAAATCTCGTTTCTAAAAGTAAGAAGGAGGATTAGATGAAGTCTTCTTGTAGGAGCCTGGGTTAGGATAGTGGCAAGAGTCTTTTGTCAGTAGAGAGACTTAATAAGTGGAAATGGGGGCTACTCACGTGCCCCGCTCCTGGCAGAGGGCGATGAGGACGGCAGACGTCTGCTTCTCCCGGCGACTGGGCGTCAGGGCCTTGGGACGCGGGAATGAGGGCAGGCTGCGCATCTTCTCCATGCACCTTCGCTGCGATTCCGCTCCGATGAGCTCGGCGGGAGTTATCAACTGGTGGCCATGGCCATCCGGCGGCTCCGACGACGTGGCGGCGGAGGAGGAGCTCAGGTGGCGGTTCAGCTGCAACAGAAGCTGCGGCGCTGTGCGAGTTGCCTGTTTTATCATCGACATCGTAGCGTTTTTGGGGTATCCAAAACAAAGTCGGTTGAACGATATGATGTAAACAAATGTAAACAGATCGAACTTTGGAATTTGATTTAACAGAATCCCAAACAGAGTTGCCAACAGCCGATAGTGTGCTGTTGCGCGCGAAAAGTGCGCTGTTAAGCGGTTAACAGTGCTGTTAGCTCAGCTGTTTTTAAATTACCAGCTGACCGTTAAATTTTAAACCACTATCTATATTGATAATGATACTGATTACACATATTCCCAAAAATCTGTTTATTACCTACAAGAAAATATATGACTTTTACTTTTATCTGTACAAAAACGTAATATTTAAAAGTTCAAACAACCCTTGATTGAGGAATTTGTATCCCTAATTTTAAAACTTTTATATAAATCTATAAAAAAAAGAATCAGCGAGATTAAAAATTAATCAATAAATTGAGAATGGTTTGTTCTTGTTATGGGGTAGACTTAAGACTTAAGAAATTTGATGTGGTATCAAGCATAACTTATAATATTTTGGGTTTCAAGAATGGTTTGTTCTCAATTCAAGAATATACTCTTGCAGGTCAATCTATCTGTGATAAATGATTTGTGATCCAATAATAATGTTCCGACTCCTATTTTCTGTAAAATCTAAGTCTTACAAGGCACACTCTATCATTATTTTATATATAAATATGATTATTAAATAGAAAACCTTCAAGAATTATTAACAAAAAGACGAATATATCATTTTTTAAAACGTTTTATTAAAATTTGTCGTCGCTTAGGGTTTGGCTGCACAAAAAAATATATATATATATATTGCATTTATTTAATAGTAAACGCCCGTGTTAACGCTAAATGTTGTTCCTTAGGTAATCGGTATGCAAAATGTTAGTTTCTTTTCTTTTTTTTTCAATCAACTGACTTTGTGGATCGCTTGTGTGAAAGCAATGGCAAACGGCATAATTGTACCGATTTTGGGATTTCGGGATTACAAGAGTCACGAGTTAAGAGTTTCGAGATTTGAGTTTCGAGTTTCAAGCATCATCGATCGCTCGGTCCGGGTAAGGTACTGCTTACAACTTAGAACTATTAAACGTTACTTTCGTTATTGGCGGCGGCGGCGGCCTGCTTGGCTGCCGATCCTCCAGCGGCCACACGGGATCGGGTAAATTTGCTAATGGACGTGGGCGATGCGGAGACAACTGCAGCATTTGCTGCACCGGCAGCTGCATCCAAGCGTAGACTGTTCCCGGCCGGATAGACACAGGCCTTGCCCCGCCTGCGATTCGCCGGAGAGCCGGAGCTCCTATCACCCATTTGTACTAGGCTGGGCACCATATCCTCGGCCCTGGCGAAGACGAACTCCTCGGAGGAGAGACGCTTTCTCACCCGGCCGCCCACCACATCCGGTCGCTTGCCATTGCTTAGCGGTGATGGTGATGCGGGGGCCACCAGGGCAGGGGTCTCCATCACACTGCCAGCGCCGAGAACGGGAAAGTGGGACTCCAGGACGCCGGGACGCATGATAATCTCCTCCAGGTGGGGGCCACCATTCTGCCTGGCCGGCGTGGCAAACTGTTCCAGCGATGAGCTGGCACTGTAGAAACTAGTGTCGGTGGAGCCCAATCCCATGGCGCCCTGGCCTCCTTGCCCTTCGGACATCTCATTGGCGCACCTGGAGTGCTCGGAGCGAGTGCAGCAGCCACGCTGGACATCCCGATCGCAGGGGCAGTAGGGACACAGTCGCAGGCAGTCCGCATCTGAGAGGATATCGCTGTCGCTGAAGGTCAACTTCTTGGCCGGCTGCGTTTGCCTCGACGCCAGCTGATCCCTATCTCGATCCCCAACCCCGTCCAGCGGATCGGCGGACTTGGAACTCTGGACCGCATTCGAGCCATGCGGCAGCTGCAAACGCTGAAGACTGTGCGCCGAGGCCGACTCAAAGCTATCGTCGCTGGAGTCCAGGCTATGGGCAGCTGGAGATTGATCTGGAAAGATGCGCGGAAAGGTGATGAACACACGTCCCATCCGTTTGTACTGATCTAGATTCCTGGTGTCCTCCGCACAGCCGGCCAGATTCTCGCTAAACTTGGGCGCCCGCCTCATCACCTTGGGCGTGTGCAGCTGCGACTCGAAGATGTCCTCCAGCGGGACCTTGGGTCCACCCATGCCCACGCCCATGTGCTGCAGATAGCGCTCAATGCTGTTGGCCAGACTGATGGGCACACTGGTGCGCGAGGAGACGCTGGAGATCTCGGACAGGGTCTCGGGACTGGCCAGCGGGGCCAGGCCATACCAGTCGTCGTGCAGAAGATCCACACCAGGCACTGCACCCGCATCCGAAGCACGGCGAAGGGCCTGGACTTGTGCCAACGGCAGGGAGCGCGGCTTTTTCTCGGAGTGCTGGCGCCCCAGCAGGGATCTCTCCGGCAGCAAAGGCGGTGGAGTCAGGGCCATATCGAAGGCCACCGCCTTAAGGCGCGGCATGGCCATCTCTGCCATGGGTTCGGGATCCACATCCGTTTCGGGATTATTACCAATTACGGTGGCCGTCGTCTCGGCACTGATCAGCGAGGGACTCTGGCGCAGGGCCACCGTGGCCAGGCTGTCGTCCAGAGCACTTGATATGTCGTACGGCGTGGTGGCCGAGCTCAGGAGCGACGAGGCGGCCGAGGCCAGGCGCTGCTGTGGAGCCGGTTGGAGTGGGGCGGAGCCGTTGGTGAAGGACGTCTCCAGGCACAGCTTGTGCTGAGTCGTTGGCGTCAGGACGAGGCAGTTGCTCAGGTTCGTGTAGGAACTTTGCGAGGGCCGCTTGCAGTGTTGCGACTGCGACATCGAGGATCGCATCTGGTTGGGATCCGTTTCGGGGTCGAATCTCATCGTGCCATTCGTCGTCGTCTCCCTGTGGCCGCTGCAATGGGGCGGCTCCAGTTCCGCATCGTGATCGTGGGCTTCGTTCGATCCGGTGGAGAATGCATTGGAGGTCTGGCGCTGGGGCTTGCGTGGCCCACTCGTTGTTACAACCTAAAGTAGCGAGTAGCGAGAGAGGAAGGGATCAGTGTTTGCATGTACTGGATCATTTATCTTAGTTCTAAGTTGTAGTCCTACTGAAATGTTTAACCTATTGATTGATTGATTGATTTGCTTTCACATATAATCGTTTTTACTAGCTAGTTTTGATTTATAGCTGTTTTCTCAACTAGGCTTATTGAAACACCAAACCAATATTTTTGTATCTCCTAATATTCATTACCTATAATAAAAACAAAACAATCAATCAATCAATTCTGATTTTCACAACTCGTGGTTACATATATAAATGCAGAAAGTGACGAGTAGATGTTGCGAGCGAGAGAGACAGAGCGAGCGAGAGTGGGATGCAAGTATGTACAGTTTCACAGATGAGCGAGAGTGGAAAGAGACAGATGATGCAGATGCATTTAGCGAGTGGAGTGACTAAGTACAGTTGCGTCAAAGTAAAGCGAGTGGGGTGTTTTGGATACAGTTGCTCATGTTTCGATAGTTAGGTGGATGGGTGGGAAGGCTTACGGGTGCGAGACACAATATCGAGATCGGTTTTCGTTGTACATACACAGCGAGTACGATTACATTAAGAGAGTTTAGTATACAAAATTGATAGGTTGTTGGTATATTGTTTGAGGTTAGGTTGAGAGCGGGAGAGAGAAATATACATAGAGAGAGAGATAGAGAGAGACTTGTAATTCGGTTGACATATTTAATTTAATTTGGTTTTAACGAGAGCAAAATGGAAAGTTGCTTTAGTCTTTTGTTTTTAATGATAACATTTTTATATAGAAGTTGACGGGCGGCTGTACCTGGTATCTGTATTTTGTGTTGTCGTAGTTGTTGTTGTAACTGTTGTAGTTGTAGTTATTGTCGTGTTATCATTACGTCTACGAGTGGTACATGCCTTTACGGTTCGATCTCTACAAGACACGACCTGTGCACATCATCGGATGATCGGGTCACATACAAATCGGTAAAAATCGGTATTCGTTTATCGGTTAACGATAATCGTTAATTTTCATAAAAGAAGCAAAACAAAAGCATAATTAATTACATCATTAATTACACAAGTTCGTCGCATATAATAGCTATGAATCGGATTATCTAGGGGCGGGTCGGGTTCAAAATCGATTCAAGGGATTTATCCTACGGCCTGATCCACTGCTCTCTCATTGCAACTAGCACACAACCCTCCCAGCTCAGCAAAGGCGAATACATTTAGTGGTCTACCATATCATTTTTTTTTTGCCATTCCAGAAGCTTCACAACAACTTAACAACCATTCCCATGCAGCAGATATTTTTGAAGGAATTGTGTATGTGTTTTATGATTGGGTGGGATACTCGTGTGTGTATGGTCAAAGCATAAATAAAATCGGAACTAAATAAACTTACCAAAACAAATCCACATAAAGAACTCAAATGAAATCATCATCAAACGTGGGCTATACATATTTGCTATTCGAAACCGGTACGTTACAATTTCCATCTAGCGAAGCAATTTCTTGAACATCTTTAATCCATCGATATCGGGATTAACTGGACATTCTGGTGGTGTAGATAGGGCAACTTACAGGGTGTGCAAATACTTTATTTGCCACCATTACGGATTTCAAAATGTAATTAAAAATAAATAAATAAAAATCAACATATTTAAGTACGTACAAGAGTGTGTATATTCGTTATAAAAAACAAAAGGTTTAAGTTTTTCAAGTGAAAATATATAAGAGCGTTGAATAAACACGGAGATTTAGAAAACGAAATGCAAATTACATCTGTTCAACTTATACAATAAAATGGACAGGGGTTACTTAGGCAATACAAACAAAATACAACTATATTATAAATACAAACTTAACTTAGGCGTAATTGTAAACATTCAAAGTCCATTGTCAATGCCCTACACAGCGATAAATACAACAGAGCTACTGGATTTTCGGATATGCGTGTGTAGTGCTGGCTAAGTATCGGTTCCTTTACTCTGGACATATCAAAGCAAAAATTCCTTAGATATCGACAACAAAAAAAAAGAGGGGGCAATAAATAAATACAAACAAATCAATGTCGAACAATTTAGCGATATTGAAATTATAAGCGATAGTTGGCCTTAGACTAGATAACGTTAAACGTAATTGAGTTTACATATAGATAAATAGGCATAGGTGTAAATATGCTTGTCATGACTGTGGGGGTGGTGTTTGTGTTCGAGTGGCTCTTGTGGTTGAGTTTTTTTTTTTTTTTTTGTGGTGGTTTGTGGTTCGCCATACGCGACCCATAACCTTAAGGCTAGACTAGGGGCAAGGTACAGTACGGTACAGTACAGTTGACGAACCAACTAACTAGATCGGTGCTGCGTACTCTATATATGTATATATGCTAAGGACTATAGTTAGACTATATACGGTTCTAGGACAACGACGAAGAAGAAGACGACGGAGGGGGGTGTGGGTTTCAGTAACGTTCATTCATTCCATTCAACTCGACTCCATTGACTGGTTCTGATCAACTGGCTGTGGAATAGCTGTGCACCGAGGAGCCACGCTCGTCGTCGAACTCGCCAATTACCTTCTTCAGGGCGGCGAGAATCTTGTCGGGCATGTGATCCTGCAGCATCACCGGCGAGATGAGCACCTCATCGAAGTCCGTGGAGTCCGCCCAGATGGCCTGGTATACGGGTTCCCGATTCTTCAGCACATTCCTGCAAAATATACACAGAAGCTTCAATGAAATAGTCTTCATTTAGCGGTATTATAATTAACTATGTAGCAATTTTCTAGAGTAATACAGAAATTCCTTCCAACTAAAGTCCAAATTGGGCGCCAATTTTGGTGTCACAGAAATCTCTTTCGAATTTTAATTTATTTAAATACACCAACACTACTACTTGTCTACAAAATTGATACTATTAGTAATGTATCTATTTGATTTGTTAGAAAAAGATTGAAATAAACACATTTATCAGTACTACATACATATGTTCTATAAGTATAACAAGTTGGAACCAAAATATGAAGTTGATTTATACGGGATTAATCAGAAAAGTTGATACCATTATGTAATTAAAAGTCTACGTTAATTTTAAGGCATAAATACAAGTTTAATTAAATGAGACGACCGATGAAAGGATTTCCATGACCCTGCGCATAAGAAGTAGTTTTTACTCAAATCTTCGGGTCTAAGATCATGCTGGGTCTGCTAATGCGAACACAACTCATAAGGATAGTTCCCCAGCTCATATACAAGAGCGAGAAAAGACGACATCGAGAGAAAGAGATAAGTTCTAAAGATCTCTTTGCACAAGCTGAGATATCATCTGAGTTTTGAAATTATTATGGTTCAAAATGAGTATATCTCAGATATGTTAGATGACAACTCAGTTAATGCCAAGAGTCCTTAAGAGAGGGATGGGACGATGCATGCATCGGTGATTGTATTATCTCATGCAACAAAGATTAACCAAAACTGGATGATGAGGAACTCTTCTAATAGAATATATATAGAACTATGGAATTCTCGGACTGCCACTAGTCAACACACAAACCAAACAAGCTAAGACACAGAGAAAGTGTGCGAAAGAGAGAGAGAGAAAGAGATAGAGGGCGAGCACAAACACGGGCAGAGTGGGATAGACATATGTAGACAGAGAGAGACAGGAGAGATAGATAGAGACGGAGATCGAGTTGAGTTACTGCAGCGCTGCTCAAGCTCTTCTTCTTCTTTCAATCTTTTGGATGCGTGTGCTCGTATCTGTATCTGTTATCTGTGTGCGATGCAATTTGTGGATATGTGTGTGCGTTGGGTGTCGCTGTAGGTGTCGGTGGGTGGGTGTTTCTGTATAAGTGTGTGTGCCTACCTCCAACCACTGTCGTATTTTTGCCTGAAAAACATTTTTGTAACATTATTTTCATGTCTCTTTGACGGGGTTTTGGGACTTTGGGGCAAACGCAAATCGACCAAACACGTTCAGCAACACAAAACATAACTAAACAAGAGAAACCAAATCAACATAAACGATAACTAGTGAAAGTACTCGCTCAAGAACTCCGCCGATCATAAAATCGTAATTATATCTAAAATGATATAGGGCCTCTTCTCTTTTGCTAGCACATACAAGATTTAAGTTTATTTAAAAGGTCATTTTTTTATATATTATTATAGATTTTAATCGTAATATGTACATCAAAATGCAACAAAATAATGATAAAAACCTGTTCCTAAGTCTTCATGTCGGGAAACTAATTTATAGTAATGATGTACATATGTTTGAAAGTATTTTATATAAACAATATTTTAATAAAATTTACCCAAAGAAAACAGTCAAACTTTCTAAACTGACAATGACTTACGCTATTCTCCAACTCGATCTTAATCATTTAACAAATAGGTGTCAATTAAATGTCTCTCTCCCCAATGGAATTTATCATTTTAATTTTGCTTCTTGAAACCGTATCTGTGGGAATTCTAGACGGCCCTACACATTCTGTAAGTAATCGAGTTACAGCCAACCCAACGAAACGGGTCACTTGTGAACTTAATAATTGGAGCAGCACGTTCCAGCCATAAGTCACGTGGGTATGTCAATTCATGGATGACAATTAGAGGCCCGACCTCAATAGAGAGTTCAGTGCCCCCCACCCGTGTCGATGACGAGATCAACTGTATCTACACATCTCTCTACAAATGGGCGAGGCAATATAGTCCAAGCCGCAGCCCTGACGTCATTGCGAATGAGTCAGTGGCGGATCAGCTTGACTGCGACGATAAGCCACTGGTTATCGCACCTCAATTAGCACAGACCTTGGCCAGAGGCGGATCTCGACTCTTGAATTTCGAATCGCGAATCAAACAACAAAACATCAACAAATAAATCAGGTTGTGGGTCAGGAGGTCAGGAGGGTTGCGAGATCGAGGAGGAAACAAATGCGGATGCGTCCGGCCTGTCGCACTTATTTCCATCTCGACCAATGCCGGCTACTCACTCGTCGGGCTTGGGATGGTGTCGCACTATGTGGATGATGCGCCCGGGCGGATATAAGGGCTGGTGCAGGGTTAAAGCTATCGAGCTGTCCGTGGGATGGGCGCTGGTCGAACGTGCAGTGCCGCGCTCCTAAAAATAGAAAGAAAAGCCCATTCATTTAATACCCTGTAAAGGGTAATCATCTTCTGTGGTTCTACATACCTCCTGGTACTGATTGATGTGCGTGTCCTGGCCGGACATGTTGACCACAGAAGTGGGCTCCGGTCCACAGCCACAACAGATGACCGAACAGGAAATGGTCTTCCACTAAAAGAATATAAACAGAAAATTAAGCACATATCGTTGAATATTTTGGATAAGGTAAACTCACCTTGGGGTCCACGCTGCGCTGAATGGCATTGATGAGGTCCGCTCGCAGAGCCTCCATTTGATTGAGACCTATGCGCGGCACAACGTCCTTGCCTAACACCACCGAGGTGATGAACGACTTGGAGTACTCCACGGCGGGCATACTAAAAAAGATGATAAACACTACCAATGTAGAGCTTAAACGCGGGTTCTATACAGTGAACAACCCACCTGAGCAGTCCACCGGGCGGGGAGTAACTGAAGCACTGTAGCGTTGGATGTTCAGGCTTCAGTAGTATGGCAAGTATGGCCGCCGTGCCGGCGCCCAGGGAATGACCCACCAGGACCAGGTCAAAGGTGTGCGTCTGGCGATCGGGATTCCGCTGCAGTGCCCTCTCGATGAGGTTCTCCTCCTGCAGCTTGTTGCGTATATAGATCGCCGCCTGCACCATGCCCTTGTGGGCCAGCCAATCATCACGCGGCGGCTGCAGCGGCAGGACTTCGCCCTCGGCATTTAGATCCGTGAGGATGTCCTTCATGCCAAGGGTGCCACGTATGCTGATCACCACCGCTCGATGGGTGTAGTCGACGGCCACGAAGAAGGGCGTTTCGCCCACATCCACGTGGTAGGTGGCATAAACGATGTCGATGTCGCCCATCTGGAGTGTTTTCTTCAGCGCCGCGTAGTTGCACAGGCAGCAATTGTCCCGGATAACCTCCGTATCATCGCTACTGCCGCAACAGCAGCCAAAGCATCTGAAAATAATATTCAGAAGGTATTAGAGTTAGATATGATCAATCAATATATAAATTCGGGGATCATCAATGTATCTTCTATGTATTTAAAAAGCTATGGCGAAAAAAGCAAGAAAGAACAGCTTCTTTTTATAATCTTTTTATACAGGTGAATATTAAATGATGTTATAAATAAAGTAACGATTTTCCAGGAATTAAATACAATTTGTATCCTGGTATAAATGTTATTTACTATCATCCTTCTATTGCCATGTTTCCATTAGCCAATACTCACTTCAGTTCCGGCACCAAATGCCACATCTTGGTTCGATTGTTGATCACGTACATGGGCCAGCCGTAGGCGCCCTGGGCATAGTACATGTAGTGGATGACCGTCTGAAAGAAGTCGTAGTTTTTGGCATCGTTGAGTGCTAGGAACTGGGTCCGTTCCGTGATGGGTACGCCGCTGAGGAACTCGTAGGTGCCATTCTTGCGCTGCCGCACGATGGCCTCACGTTCCAGCCGCTGAAATTTGCGAAGCAGGACGAGACCGGCCACCACATCCGATGGCACCACGTCCAGTTCCCGGAAGAAGTCGCTCAGCAGGCGGGCAATGTCGGTGAATGAGTTGCGGTTGCGTTCCGAGGAGCCCATGCAGCAGAAAAGCAGACGGCAGCGATGGTCCCAGCTGTCCTGGTAGGCTCGCATCACTTTTCTGTGGGTTGGTGGTATTAAAGGGATTCATTTTTGAAAGTTCTATGGTATTCCTATGATTCCTGAATGGAAATGAACTCACCTTTGCCGCCAGTTGCGGTTCATACTGTTGCTCCTTTTATAGTTGAACCGAGACTCCGTTTCGCGCATTGATCGCTGGTACTTCTTCATCTTCACCCAGGATCTTCCGGCAGCATCGAAGGTGCACCATATCGTGATGAGGGTGATCACCACCAGAGCCCAATTGCAGATGATAATGGCTGAGGGAAAGTTATAATAATAAAGATGTGGTAAAATGTATTGTTAAACTAAAATACCATACTGGCAATGTATAATAAAATACCTAAGCAATAAAATTTGAATATAATTGGAGTATTTAAGAATGTAAATGGAACATTTAAGAATACAAATGGAACATTTAAGAATACAAATGGAACATTTAAAAATACAAATAGAACATTTACAAGTATGAGTGGAACATTTAAGAATATAAATGGGAATTTGTAATTGCATAAGTTATTTACATAAAACTGGTTCTATTAAAGCAAGCCAACTAAAAACAAGTATAATGTATATGCTAAATATACATCATGATATTTAAGATATTTCTTAGCTATAAATAAATCGTAATAGTCCAATGCATAAATGTTCAATAAGTTAATATTCTGGTTATTGTAATATAAGTTCATAAATTAAAACCATTAACTAGTTTATAACAGAGGAAAAGCTGGTATTTTAGAATACTAAGATATCACATTTAGAAATTATATTTTAAAAATGTATGTATAGCCTTATAGATTAAACTTACCTATGTAGACCTTTTTGGGATCATCGATGGGTGCGGTGGTGTAGTAATGCCCCAGCCAAACGGAGCCCACCGCCAGCCAGGCAATATCGAACAGTATTACCACTAAAAAGAACAAAATAATATATCAAATTATATACTGGGAATAGGAAGTGATATTCTAGGACAACTTACAGCTCTTGAGATATATCCAGATGTTGATAGAGTTGCGCGCCTCGGCATCTAGAATACTGCCACGCATCGAGATCACACATATACCTATTTCTACACATATTGAAACTGCAAATGGATTTATCAAGACCCGTTCCATTGAATTCGAAAATATGTACTTACAAAATAGTATCAACAAGTAGCCTATTAGATGGTAGAACAATAATTTTACGCTTAAAATTTGTGTATTATACTCAAAGATAACCAACGAGACGCTAACAATCACAAAACTATCACGAAAAGTAAAAAAAGATGTAAGGAATATATTGATAAAGAGTTAGGTGGTTAGGAGAAAATTTGGTATGCGTATACTTACCATATAAAATGAATAGTCAGCAGAAATGCGCCCGGCACTACGAGATCATCAGAGCCCACAGACCAGCGACGTCTGAAGACCACAAGTCCAGGCATCTGAAATGGTCAAAAATAGTAGATTAGTTTGAGGTCAGCAAAGCACATTCTTAAATCTAACGTAGGTATGATAGGCAAAATAAAGTCGGCAACCCAAGCTAAAAAAGATGTAACTATTTATAGCATATAGTTTTAAAAAGAATCACTCAAAAAATCACTAATCGGATCTTAAGAACAGAATATAAAGCATTTTATAGCTAAATATCTCTTTACTTTAAGACACTAAAAACAGAATGTTAATCAAAAGTTTTTTTTTAAAACCAAATCCCAAAAATCTATCTTTTTCCATGGTACAAGTGTATCTATATAACCCCTTAAACATTAAAAAGATTAGCTGCTCTACCAAGAAATTATAAATATAGTACATTTATCAGTACCCTAGTAGATTACGTTCGCAGAAACAAAAGGTACTTAAACTGCACAGCCCAAGCATTGTCAAGCTTTTTGAAAAAATAAAGAAGTCAACACTGCGTAGGAGTGATAATCTAGAATTTGCTGGGGGTATCGCTCATACGCAATGTCTTACAAAACAATTTCTTTTATTTTGAATTTTGCAACCTTGAAAAAGAAGCTAAGCAGTAGCTAAGCATCCCATGACAACGGGCACAGCTGTTTAGAAATTGCCTGATAAAGCATCCAGCTGGATGGCCAGCAATTTGCCCCCTTGGCGTTTTGTGAGCTCCTGATCCAAATTGTAATCCCTCTGGAAAATCAGGGGCAGCCCTAGCAGTGTTCAAATGCTAACTGGCAGTACAGTCATGCCTGCATGCAAATATGCAAAGCCAACGACTTTGGACAGCCTAAGGTTCCGCCCCGCCCACTGAAACCCCCCTTCATCCTCATCAACCAGTGCAATGTAAAGCAAAGCATAATCAGGGTTAGACATGAGCTGGGCGTGCTAAAAAGGGGGGCAAATAGAAATACACAGAGAGCAAATGTAACAGCATTAGTTTCCTATCTTTACCTACCATCATTTAAAAATTATTCGTATTTTAAAACAATACACAAGTTTCGAAATATTGAGATGGTATTATAACTTCACACTGAGTTCTCAGCTTTTACCTACCATCGTTTAAAAATTATTCGTATTTTAAAAAATTTTAAAAGTTTCGAAATATTTAGATAGTAGTATTACTTCATAATGAGTTTTCAGTTTTTACCTATCATCATTTAGAAATTATTTGTATTTTAAAAGTTTCGAAATATCCATATAGTATTATTACTTCACACTGAGTTTCCTATTGTTACCTAACCTCATTTTAAAATGATCCGTATTTGAAAAAAATTTTAAAGTTCGAAAAATATTATAAAATATATTATATATAAAAATGTATATTTAAAAAAAATGTTGTACTTAATATAATGATTTTATGTTTATGGTTTACAATTCTTTTCTCATAAGCAGTGCTATTTATAGATCAATTATTTCGGTCATTACAACCAGCACTTATTGGCTTCTTATAAAAAAGTTCATTATATTTTCAAATTCGACCTACATAATTTGTAGCTTTTTAAAGAATTAACAATTCCTTGGATATTTTTTTGATTTTTTTTTTCACTACCATATTTTGTTAAATATTTTCTCTGCGTGCAACAACTTGTTGGTGAGGTTGTGAGCCATCATGTTCGGGATACCCCACCATAATCGCCGGCTTGACATTGCATCGAGGTCCGATAAGGCGGTCCCAACATGGGATTCGTACAAGGGAATGCATACCGATATTTGCATATCCGGACCGGGATTAACCAGAATGGCTAATGACGCCAAGACATGAGAACACCTATCAGACACGAAAGTGCCAGCCAAATGATTCATAGTCCTTAACGGCGGCATAATCAAAGACATCGAATCAATTGTGCTAAATCACCATTAGATATTGCATTCCCAAACATATCGCCAGTGCCTCGTTTATAGACTTCTGGAGGCCCCGAGACAGCTAAATATGTTTACGAGTTCAGTCAATATAAACACAAACAAGCTAGTAATAAACTTGTTGAGTGCCTCAACTAGAACTGAAAATCTATAGATCTATATACTGAACACCTTGAAATTTGCAACTTTTTATATGCAAATATAACAATCCTATTATATACTAACCACCTTGAAAATGTAAACTTTTTATGTGTAAATATAATAATCCTCATGTTTTAGAATATAATCTACCTGTGGTACGATAAAAACTTGTTGATTATATGACCATGTTGAAATCAATTAGTAGTATCTTACTGTTTCCGAGTTGTATAACAAAAGTCATTCAGTAATCATTGAATAAATACAGCTTATCCATTAAAATGTATTTATCATATTACACATTGAGAATTGCCATACGATTGAATGGTTTTACATACCCAAGTCAAACCAAATTGGTAGTGTATATAAGAAAATCGCAATATGTATAAACAAACTATCAATAACAAAAACACCAACATGGAAAATTTGGAACAGGATTTTCTTTAAATATTTTGCCTTGACTGCGTTGTTAAAATCGTTTTTAGCTGACTTATAGATGTTTTATAGTTTAGGATAGTCAAAAATTAGATTTTCTTATATCCAAATTGTTAATAAATGATTTTATTTATTTTTGTATGTACCACATTTAGCAGCTTTTGGAAAACATTTAGTTTTTTCTGTTTTATATGGTTTTGGAATTTGTAAATTTGTGTGTAGTAGGCTAAAACACGACTAACAACTAAATACTATTCTGCCTTCTTTAAATCCTAGCAAAAAAAGCAAAGAATACTTGATATTAAGCAGGAATATCTTTATTTTGAAACGGAAAAAAGTCTTTCAAATTATTTGTAAAGCTCATATAGATATTATAGTTTATCCAGTTCCATATAAAAATTAATTATGTATTTCCTTTCTAAGTATAGTTTACGTACATGTTTTTCCATTAAAACATTTAAGCCTTAATCCTAGTACGCTTCAATCTTTATTTGTTAGTAATCTTTAATTGAAAAGTTAAGTCTTAATCTTAGTACCTTTCGATCTTAATTAACAACTGTTTTTATTTTGTTTACTAGAGAGAGAACATCGTGATTGGTGATTTAAAATTCTGACCTTTGTGTAGATGCGTTCGTATCTACTGTTTGTTGACAGATTTTATTCTGGCAATATTTATCATCTTCCCGAAAGCTAAAAGTTCAAGCTCCGCAATTTCAAGGCTATAGATCCAACTAACGGCAACGGCTCTTATCGGCAAACATTTACCTTTAGAAATAGCAAAGGTGAAGCCACTAAAAGCTCCAAAGGCCCGACGACATTGGCATTGGCCCCGCTGAACTTTGCCCGACAATGGACGACTGTGACGATGTGAATGTGAATGCGAATGTGAATGTCGATGTGAATGTGAATGTAGATGACGAGCCATGATTTTGCATTTATTTGCACACCATTCAGCCAACTATTTTCCGTATGGCCAATGAGCCATGATATGGAATATGGAACCGAACCGGGGACATGGACAGAAAGAACAATGACGAAGAAGCCGCTGGCAACTCGAAAACCCATTAGACCAACTGCAGGTATGTAAGGTCATTATGGCCCACTCATTTCGCTCTGTGCACTTGGAAAAATGTATTGGCAAAGATGACCTGAGTTAATTAATCTATAAGATTAAAGTTAGGTTGAAAACACTGCATACACTTGACAATTAGATCATTATAACGTATAAGTTATGGCTTACAGTAATGAAGATCTATTAGTTTTATTAAAAATTTGAATCATAAGTTAGCTATAATAAATAATAATATTTCATATATTTCAAATACTTAAAAATGTATCACTTGAGAAATACTTTTTACTATACTTTAACTCCTTTATTGCAATGTTTTAATAATATCATTTATCTGCAATCGTAACATTGATCTTATAAAATGTATCCAAGTATTTTTTAAACAACCCCAAAAAAACTATGCATAGTGAAAGGGATAATCTGAATCAGCAGTTATTTATTAATAAGTATTCCATATATTATATATTTTTATAAATATTTATCGCCAAGGAAATACAATTTACAAAACTCCTTTATCACTTTAGTTGAACTTTTCCGATCAATGGTGTGTCTGTAATCGTAACATTATATAAAGTGTATCCAAAATAATTGTTGACTAACCCACATTAACTAAGCATAGTTAGAGATATATTCTGAATCAGTTGGTTTTTATAGATGAGCATTCCTTATATTTTATAAAAATATATATCCCCTGAGAAATACTATTTACAAAACTCCTATATCATTTCAGTTGAACTTTTTCGATTAAAGTTTTGACTGTAATTGTAACATTGATCTTATAAAATGTATCCCAGATATTTCTTAATAAGCCAACAACACTATCTACCCCCAATTTATTCCAGTGTAGTGCGAAAACCACGCAGCTGTCGAAGAAGCCGTAATGCCGTAATGGGGCGAGGGCAGAGTAATTGATGGCAATTACTCTTTTGTTCTGTCTCCGTCATATATCGCAGCGCATTCAATTATTCAGTTATTGCCATTATAAATGATGATAATTCCTGTCACGGTTATTGGCTAAATAATGATCCGTACTTTGCTTATTTCGCACCAATTTTTGATTAGATTCTTGGTTGGCAATGGTTCGTGGTCCCCAATAAATCACACACCTGGATCGTTCTTTTATGTTCGTGCAGCGGGTCTGGAAACCCCGGGGAACAGGCCCCTCCCGATAAGATAGTCCCAATGCAAGCACCGCCATCGGTGGAACTTATCAACCTTGGGGGAGGGTGGTATGTACAAACGAATACAAACAAAGGTGACATGCACCCATCGCCGCCACTTGGATTCAACAAATAGCCCCGATATCATCACTTGGCAAACAGCCTTGATGACTGCAATTAACAACTGGATTTATGATAAGCCCTTAAACATCTTTTTTAGCTACACTTGAAGTTCTGAGTGGTTCGGTAATATGTTTTAATCATATCACCAGGGAATTGTACATTTACTTGTATCCACATTTAAAAAGGTCATCATTTCAACAGCATATATTTTATTCATCGAAATACTTGGAAATGTAGGATTCGTTTTTCCATGGAATTTTTAATGTTCGCAATTTAACTTGAAATCAAATCAATATAAACATCAGAATCAATTAATTTACTGAAACGAATTTATTCCCTGTACTCAACTAGGATAAAGTTCATGTCGAAATTCTCAGAACTTTTGCAGCCAATAATTATTATCTTTCCTTTGCTTTGCACTTTTAAATGCCAGATTTTGTGTAACTTTTACTCTTTGTGACAGATTAATTGCAATTTGGTCCAAGTTTCCGCCATACAAACTGCGTTGGGACACCAAATATATAAAATTCATTTATGTAATGCATTTTGATTCATTTAATAATACATCCCTTTAATTAAATACTAATTGATTTTGCTTAATTGGTTTTAATAATAATCATAAAACTTACATTTTCTTATATGACACTTTTTATGTAATTTTTGGTGTCTAAAAGTATGCAACCATATATTTTAAACCAAGAAGTACAATAAAATCACTTAGAGTAACGGCTATACTTTATTTACTGCATACTTTTAGACACCTAAAATGACTTTTAAAAAGGATTTGAAGGCCGTGGTGATATGTTGGCACCCCCAATATCTAGTTTCTCCTTTTTTCTAGATAACTTTGACAATACTATCAATCAGACTTTCACAAAGAAAGACACTTATCAATTAAATTCAAAATTAAACACTATTCCCCCCAATTATGGTTAAGGTTGTGGAGGACATTTTCGGGATTGCGACCAATCCGTTCACCAAGCGGGCTCAGGTGATTCGTCGCTATACAATCACCAACACCAACCGCCTGTCCGTGTCCATCATTCAGTTGGGGGCCACAATCCAGAGCATCCAGGCTCCGGATGCCTATCACCAGTTGTCGGATGTGGTCTTGGGATTCGACGACATAGCCGGTTATGTGAAGTACAGAAACTACAAGTTCGGTTGCACACTTGGCCGGGTCACCGATGTGGTGGGCAACGGAGAGTTCATCATGGACGAGCGACGGGTGATTGTGTCCAAGAATCTGGGCCACAAACACCAGATGAACGGTGGCTTCGTGGGCTTCGACCAGGTCATTTGGGATCTGTATATGAAGCGACCGGATGGCGTTACATTGCGGCATGTCTCGCAGGATGGACACGAGGGTTTCCCCGGCACCCTGAGCATATTCATTCACTTCACCATCGACGATGACAATCGGTTCTTCATACGCATCGAAGGCACTACGAACCAGACCACGCCGGTGAATATATCCAATCACATTTACTTCAACCTAGCCGGTCAGACGACTGGTATCAAGGGTATATTCGATCATCAGATCAATATTGAAGCTATGGAAACGATGGATACCTCGGGTGGCGATGGAATTCCCACGGGGAAGTTCAAGAGCGTTAATGATTCCGTATACGATATCCGATTACCGGTTTTCATGGGCGATCGAGTGCGTCAGTTTGTGGAGAGACCGGTGAAGGGCTACGATGTGTGCTATGCCCTCGATAAGGAGTTCGATTCCAATATAACTCGTTATGTGGGCAGATTTCTGCATCCGGAATCGGGACGCTTCATGGAGATCTTCAGTAACCAGCCGAGTGTTAAATTCTCCACTGCCAATAATTTCCCACAGGAACCCCTTGGCGATGAGCCCATTTTGGGTAAAAAGTGCACCCGCTATTGGCAGCATTGTGGTTTTAGTTTGCAACTACTCAACTATCCGGATGCTGTTAATCAGCCGGATTTTCCACGCATCTTCATCAATCCGGGGGAGCATTACTTCCATGAGACCATCTATCATTTTGGTGTTCAGGAATCGTGGAAATGTTGTGCAGATCCCGAGGAACTGGAGGCCCTGGGCGAAGAACCACTGAAACGACCTTCAGTTCACTGATTGCTTGTGGAGGAAAGCTTTTTGAGAAGCGCGGAGAAGGGCCCTCTTTTTTGATAAGTCCCATGACAGGCGTAATGAAGGTGTGTTTTGTCATTTTGGTACAATTGTGATTGATTTGGGTATATTCAGAGAAAATTCCAAGGGACTTGATAAAGTATAATGTATTTCTAATGGCAATAAATTGCTTTAAATCTTATTTCGGTATTTGCGTATAATTTCCAATAAGTTATGGAAAGGAAAACATAATCAAGAGCCTAACAAACGTCAGGAACTTGTGCTCGTGTGGTTAATTGAACTGAATGTTTGCCAGTAAATGCTTCACATTTCCTGGAAACTCATGGCGTAACCAGTGCTTGTGAAGGCCAAATGAAAACGACCTCGACCATTCACCGAATTATCAATTTGGCCTGCTCACTGGGGCATTGGCAAATGTATCTCTCTTCAGTTCAGATGAAAGATTTGCAAATATGCCAAAAAAAAAAGAAGGCCGAAGAAAAAAAGAAACAACGCACTTGGCTCGCTGGAAACTCGACGTTTATAAAGCTCATCGAGCGACCCTCGAACATGAAAATGCTGCTAATGGGGCATCTGGCACGTTTTTGGATCGATTGGAAATGTAACCTGATGTTTTGTGTACCCCAGATTGTTGACTGTTTGCTTTTGGTAATACTAAATTTAGCAACGCCGCTTGCGAATCCATTTACTTAAAGTCTATAAAAAGCGAACACCGCCGGACGGGGAATATCGATCTAAATTTAGATGCTTTGGACCGCTGCCTTAGCTCCGTTGCGCATTGGTGTTTAGTGGCGCTAAGGGGCCGTTTTCCGCATATTTCGCAATTCGCAATTGAATTTCCATCTCTCTCGCTTATGTCGCTGCAATTTGGAATAAATTATCCATATTTTAGCCCCTTTTTGGGGACACGGGGCACAGGCACAAAGGTAAATGGGCACACACACACACTGACTCACCCACGGAAACTGCAGTTGCCCCCAAGGGGTTAATTGCACTGCCCTCCCGTTTCCGCCCATTTTACTTTTCACTTTCCCCTCGTCACCGTTTTTGAATAACTCTATAAACCCAGGCCGTACACTCTGATTGCGGTTTCCACTTCCTTTTTGGTCATATTATATAGTTTCAGCATTCGCGTGACGTGCTCCCTTCCAAGCAATTAAAAAAAATAAACCTGCCCCAAAAATAAAAGGAAAAACTTACAAAGGGATATGCACTTTCAGAAAAAAATAGCAACATAAAATGGTGAATATTAAATGGATTAAATGAACATTTTTTTTTAAATTTTTGTTGTATAGCAAGAAAACAATTTAACTCAATTATAACTTTTTCTGAAATTTGTGAATATTAAATGGGTCTTTAATATGGTCTCCATATATAGATTTTGTATAGCTTTTGCTTTAATAAGTTCAGGAAAGTTGGAAAAAATGTAAGTTCGGTATTTTAAAATTTGTTTTTGTATAGAAAGGGGGGAATATACCATTTTTCAGGAACTTTTTTCTGAATGTTTGTCAAGGGTGTCGACCAGGTCGACCGGACGGAAAGGGTGGGTGGGTCAGGTCGGTGGGGAAAACAGCGAGCCTGCGCTTTGAGAAAGGTAAACACACATAGGAGCCCGGCAGTTCGGGGGATCTAACAAGGGGGTTTGCCAGCATTTTCGCCAACGAGCCGCTAATGTTACGCCCAGCCCCTCGAAATGGGTTTTTTTTTCTTCGGGCAGGTGGTCTGGTATTATGCGATATGACACACTCACAGCAGCCAGTTTATTGAGGTAAGAAATATAAAGAAAACATCAAACGTTCAAATAGATTAGTACTTTTAGTTCATTATAATTAATCGTAGTACTATTTCCCTTGTAGTATTTTATTATCTGGCACTTCTACATTCAGTAAAAATTCTGAATTCCAGCTTTGAACCATTAAATAATTTTTCTATGCTTCTAAATGAAGTCATATTTTAATTTATATTTATTATCAACCAAACGATGATTCATAAACTGTTCTATTTAAGTCTCGCATTATAAACGCTACCAAAAAAACATTTCAGATGCTTCTAGCTGATTAATCTACACTTCGTATGTGAAATAAACACTTTCCATCGTGTTATTACTAATCATCTTGTCTTGATGCCATTGAAACTGATTGGCAGTCTATTCCAAAGTCTTTTTTAATCATGAGCTTCTAATAAAATAATAACAGATTCTGAGAATACATATAAAAAATATCTTTAACCAGGTTGCTTTCCATTATTCAATCTCAAAGGAACCAATTTGGTGTGACCTAAATTCTGGACTTGTGTAACGGCAATCAGGCCGTAGATCTATGACACCGATGTCTCTGTCAATATATATGGCACATCGGCGGCTGATTGACAGCCCCATCACTAGCACCATTATCCATCACTCCGTGGCGGCAAAGCCTTTGTGCTATTTGTTGCAATAGGATCAGAATCGCACAAAGGCCCAACCTCGGACAAAGTTATGCACGATATATGTACACACGCCTCTTTCACCATATATTTCTTTCATATATGTATATATATCATCTATAGGGCGGGCATATCCTTTGTCTGTAGGTGGGAAATGCGTTGGCGGATGGTTGGGGGAAAACTAGGGAAACCGGGGAGGGGGTCGCGTCATAAAAACAATGTCATCACAAGGCAGCGTGTCGGACGGAAATCAACTAAAAGGCCAATGCCAGCAGCACTCACAGTCCCTCAAAGTGCGAAAGAGATGGAAACCGAGCTCCAAGACAGAGACGGCAAGTGTGGGGCGGGAATGGGATGGGAGATAGGGCCCCCCTATGGCAGCGGCAAAAGTTGCGGCAGGAACCGAACAAGAGCAAGAACAAAAACCAAAAGAAAGTTTTATGACAATAATGACGAGCCCCGTTTAATGACGATGAAGATAAAGGCGATGATGTGGATGAGCCAGAGCGAATGTATCATATAAAATATAGCGTTGCATATGCCAAGGGTACACTTCAAATCGAAGAAGGTGAGCTTTTTTTTAGCTAGGGGTAGTTTTTTTTGGTGACCCACATATAAAAATGAAATGATTTTTAGTGAACTCAAGGTCATGGTTGGTTATATTTCAACACACTGTACTTTTTTGTTTATAAACCAGAATGGGATACATCTTGAAATCGAAATTTCTTTAAAATACTAAGCTCAGCACTCTTTGGTATTTTTGGTATTTAACTGAACCAACACAATGTGAATTTTATAACGCCTTAACTAAAGTCAAGTGTAATAATGATGCTATCCAACAAATAATCAAGTGTACAAATGGCTTATTTTATTTCAAGGAGCTATTTTGAGAGCATAAATACAAAGCCTTATCCTAAATAAATACCAAATAACGCTCTAGTTTAAAACGAACATGGGCAACCTATTCAGTTTTATTTCTTAAGTTCTGGCAGGAAAATGAGAAAATGAGAACTATAAACCAGAAAGCGAATGGCTATCCGTCTCAGTCGCTTTTCAGTTCGTTTAGTTTGGGTTGCTTTTGCCGTTTGATGACGGGACAGAAAAGCCAGCGAGGAATGCTGTTCATTTGACATTTTTAACCAATTTCCCAGTGTAAGTGGTTTTTCGTATATACTAGAAGTAGATTGGAGTCCCACAACAAGAAAACTTCTCTGTATTTTTTGAGAGCTTTTCATTGCTTTGCATCTTTAATTTTCGTTTGCCCGCCCTTCTTTTTTTTATCGCATTTTGGTATTTATGTATTATATCTAATGGAATGTGGCGAAAGCTTAAAGGAAAAGCCGGAAAAGGAAGGAAAATGGTAGCGGGACAAAGATAAAGGGCAGGCAGGAAACTCGAAAGGAATTCTGCTGCCAGCTCTGGATTTTTGAAACCCCCAAAAAAAATAGAAGGAGTTACAGCATGTACATAAATTAAAAGAATGCTGGCCCTAGACTCTCAAATTTAATTAGGGGTTTTCTACTATTTATTTATCGCAGGGCAAGGAGCCATTAAAAATGCCACAGATAGCAAACTGGAGTTGAATATTCTCAACGATTATACAAAAAATACACCCGGAAAAAACAGATAGTTGAGAATTAATACCGGTTGTATTAAAAGTATACCAGAGGCAGTATTGAAATATAGAAGTATAGATTCAAGACTAACTAATGTAAAGTCTATACTTGATATACTATGTTTATGCTATAAATTTCATGCTTTCTCCAATACATGAAATTATAATAGCCCCTGTTTATACAACACAGACAAATTCATGAAATGATATTAGTAAAGCTGTCAAATTTTTTGAATTTGATATAGAGCTCTATAGATTAGTAGGCTGTGAAGTAGGCTGTGCCTCAACATTTCGTACATTGGGACTGAATTCATAGTCAACTTTCGTGTGTTATCGAATTCATGAAAAGGTGTTTATGCACACACGAATTTGCCCAATTCATGAATTGATTTCATGAAACAGGCATAGCATAAACACAGTAATAGTTTCATTTCTATATTAAAAAGTCTAGAATTTGGATTTGTGGAATTATTTTTAATATAATTTTTATACTAATTTCAGATGAATACATTGGAAAATATTAATTTAATACTCATCTTATCTAAGCCAAATCGATGCTTAGTAGTGTAGAACTAATGTAACAGTAGTTGCTTTCCTATGACTATTTTTTTCAGTGTAGACATAATGAAATAGGATCTTTAATTTGCTTACCCTTTTATATATTCGTTCCCTAGTTCGCAACTAAGTGCTCCCGATGATATTTACTTGCTTATTGTAAAAACTATATTGAAATATATTCGTTTTTATACGATTTGGGTATAAACTTTGTTGTTTTATCAACATTGGATGCGTGAATCAGCACATTTACATGAAATACGAACTAAAGAAATTCTTAAGAACTTGAGTCGTTTGTTTCGGACTTCTTGTTTTTTGATTAAGAACGGGATTTTGATATTTGGTGCGAATTCTTAAACAGCATAATAGGAATTTTATAATATTTCCAGTGAAGTAGTGGGATTTCTAAGTAACTTAATATGTGGGAATTTTTGCTACGAATTCTCATTCATAAAGATTGCGTGAAACTAACACAAATAATGAAATTTGTTCTCCTTATTTGTTTTTCATTAAAAACCCATCACATTCATGCATCTCTACATTAATTCCAGTAACGCATTGTTTGCAAGCAATCATATGTTGTTGTTAACCCAAGTTGAAAACGATGCGCCCACTCAACGATAATTATAAAATGTAATTAAAAACACACCATCATCAATGTTTCGCCCCCAAGGGGGAGAAAGAGGAAAGGGTAGAAAGTGTTACTCCACTTTTATTTAGGAGCAAACAACAAAAAGGAGTAAAAAGCAGGAAAATATACACACATAGTGTGAAATGCATGCGTGCAGTATAAACAATAAAAAAAAAAGAAAGTGGGGGAAGGCAGCACTAACACAACCACAAACAAACACTGAAAGAAAAACAAAGGCAATAGCAAAAGCTTCTTAAGACGTTAAGAAAGCCTTTGTTTTCTGACTCCATTGTTATTGTAATTGTTGTTGCTGTCAACGGAGGAAATTCCACGGAAAGAA